TAGCTCTAGGCCGGCCACATATGATGTATTACCAGTTGGGAGACAACCCATTAGCCCCAAATCAAATCTTCGGGCTCATTTTTGGAGGTGGTGCAAAGATATTTCATTCTATTTTCTTTAGTGGTTTCATTTATGATCATTGTCATCTCGAATATCCTTAAAAACTCAATGATATGGAGAATTTAAGGTCCCTTAAATGGTAATTCAGTGTCATTCATACAACAAGGAGCATGCCAATGCTCTTAATCAGGTTTGATAGACCTGAAGTTGCTGTTAGAGATGTGATTTAGGTGTAAAGTTAGTTTGCGTAATATCGCAATCATCCAGACAATTAACTTTCCCACATTCCTACCTAATCACGTGTTTAATTGAATTGGGTCACATGTATTAAGAAACATGATTCAATTAACTAATATTCGAGGACAATATCAATAAGATTATCCATAAGTAAAACATACACCAAACTTGAATCCAAGAACATGGAAAAATGTTCACAAAGTAAATGGTTTACTAAGGGGATTCAGCCAACAAGGCTATCCATGTCAAAATTCTGCTCTTCCACCGGTGTTCAATGGAGCAAAATTAGTCTCACATATTGACTACTAGAATGGTACTCCTCAATGACATTGGTAGGGGCACGAACAGGTGCATAACCAATGATCTATTCCATCAAGACAGAAGTAGATTCTGCAGGGTTAAGGTTTAGGAATACTATCCCATATTCTTGAAGTTTTAGGTCTTAGTTGCCAAGAATCATGCTTCGGGCATGATCCCACACCTTGGCAGGCCCTGATTCTACCATAGATTTATGGTAGTAATCAAATCCAAGAATTTAGTAAACTTACGCTTTCTACACTGCTACTTCAGGGGCAAGTTCGAAATATGGAAGGACGAGAAAAGTATTCCCCAATCAAAATTCGATCGGATTTATAAACTTAAGAATTGTACTCATTCATAGACGTAATCATGGTGTGCTTCAGGTAATGTCTTTCATGATTAGACAGTATGTAGGAGCGAGCCAAAAAGCCATGGAATCCTCGTTCGGGAGGGACTTCCATTTGTAATGCTTCGGGCATAAGTCTTCCAATAAAGATCATGGCAAAGGCTTATTCAGCTCTTTCATGCCATTGTTGGCTTCAATGGTTTCTTAGCTACTTGATAGTTAAGTGGAGCTTAACGTCTTTTACCCCACATAAAGTGGTTTCTATAAGAAACATTCAAATCAAGAAAATCAAACTTGTGACGGTTCGACAATCCACTGAATTAAAGGGAACAAGATTGTGATTGGTGTTATGGGAATGAATCGTCCATAAGCATCAAAGTTAGAACATTCGAGTTCTAAGACATGGTTTTCATGAAATATGTTGGGTTTTTATGGGTGTATTTGTTTTTTGAAAACTTCGAGTTTCAAAGGCACTAAATTTGAAATTACAAGTTCAATTAGTTTATGAACATTTAGTTCATAAAAAAGAGATTCCTGCAAGAACACAAAATGCAATATGCTGATTTAAGTGTAGTGGATTTGAGTTTCTTCAGGAACTCAAGTGTGAGTGCTTCAGGACTACGAAAGTGAGTCAACGTCTCAAAGAAGAGAAATAAATTATTGAATCGTTAATATCCAAAAATGAGCTTCAAGCCAATAATTTTAGGTTAATTATCAGATTAATAGACTGCTAATCACTTTTAATTAATTTAATAGATCGGGACGAAACACCTTAAAATAATAAAAAGCTTTAGGCCATATTTTTAGGCTAGATGGTTGCAGGCCATACAAAAAGAAACACCTTAAAATTAGCTAAGGCCGTGAAATCGTGCACCAAAAATATTTTTATTTTTATTTTTATGGGTGCAGGCCGAAAAAAAACAAGCCGAAAAATGGCTTTGGGCCGAGAAACAAGGGCAGCCCAGCATTGAAATTACTGGCTGCTGCTTTAGGCAAGGCCATGCAGTATTAGGCTGCGGGCTGGGCTTGTGTAAGGCTACTGTAGACAACCCAACAATATGCAAAAATAAGCATGCAGGCTTGCTGCAGTCACGGGCCAAGAGGAACAGCCCAGCAGCAGAGGAGAAAAAAAACCAGGCTGGATTGGTTGGGCCGAGTTCACGGGGGAAGCCCAGCACAAGCTGGCTTGGTCTGGCGCGATCTGGATCGTGAGAAAGCCGAGCGAAAAAAGTATTGGCTATGTGTGCTTAGAAGGGCAGTAGGCCCATGCAGGTCAAAGGCCTAAGGCCTGGTTCACATGCGCAGCAAAGTTGCTACTGTTTCAAGGTGGCGTCAAGTCGGCGCAGCTAGTTCTCTTTTTCTTCTTCTTTCTTTTTTTCAGATTTTAGTATTAGGGTTTTCAAAACCCAAAAATAATTATGCTTCTATTTTATTTCGTTTCTTTGACTCACAAATTCCACGTAGCAAAAACTTCGTAATGCAATATATATCGGAAAGTAAATATAAATGTATGGGGTTCATGCATCATGGGAAATATTTTCATTCTTCATGGTCATTTCAAATATCTCACTTTATTTTAAGCGTACCTAATTGGTAGAAAATGATAAAAGCCTTTGATTTTGTTGAAGATCTTTTTCGGAAAGCCAAAATTGCATCTCCAATGTGTTGTATCATGTTCAACACAGAAAAATTAAATTGAATCAATAGCATGTAGATTAATTCAATAAAATAATAAATTAATCATAAAAATAATGATTAAAATGTAATACTCCCCCAATTAAATATTGAACTCTATTTAGCGCAGCGTCAAGGGCGTACTGAAAACGTGTTGTAAGCATAATTTACTGAACAATTATGAAAGTCATAGAGATAGGGGTGCATAATTTACTGAACAATTATGAAAGTCATAGAGATAGGGGTGCGGCAATAGTAAAGAGAAGAAATAGATGTGTAATTGTGGGTGTGTTATATTCCACCTTATTGTGCCTTTATTTATAGTAGTAAGGAAGGTTAATTCCTTAACCTTTTAAAATTACAACTCTTAATAGGTAATCAACTCCTAATAGGAATATAAAAGATATTTCTAGATTCACTAAGATTTACACAATTACATTCCTAATCTAATAAGACTGCAACATGGGTGTATTATTTGTATACAAAAACGTTATTGAAAATCGAAAGAAAATTATTTTACTTCTAGTAATAATTTTATTTTGCGAGTTTGTTTTTAACGTGAATATGTTAGCCGTTGATTCAAAATTTTTTTTCTAATACGGTTTAGATTTGTGAATCACCATCCAATTTGTTCCTATTAGATGCAAAATCCTGAGTACAATGTTAATCTCAAATATTGTCAGGATCATGTATCTTTGACTTCAATGATAAGACGGAATCTCGCTTGTTGCGATTGAACTCCATGAACTTTGTTTATGGAAGCTGAAGTCTGCAAAACTCTTTTTGTATGCTTAAAGGCCCAGCAAGACAAGGAAAAAGGATGTAGCCCGGAAGGCATTCACAAGAAGAAAAGGGATGTGTTATCCACATACTTCATTTTACTTCTTACACATCTTTTGTTAATTTATGTTCGATGATCTTCTTCAATTCATCCGATCCGACAATCAAAAATTAGAAGGGTGTGAGAAGTAAAAAGAATGTACGGATATCACACTTCAAAGAAAAACGACTTTTCATCCCCTAGATTATTTACCTTCTTTTATTTTTTTAAAGGTTTATGCTAATCAAAATGTATTGAGCGATGACCATGTGGTAGACACAATCTTATGTCATCTCTGAAAGAGTTCCAATGTCATAATCCAAATAGCACTCAAAGGAACGTTGAATTGAAGAAGTGGCAATTAACATCATGCAGCAGCAGAAATGCACTTTGGGTGAGCATTCATGATGTGTTGTGAAGAAACATAAAAGTGAGAGAGACGTATCTACACTACGTACGCCACCACAACAGTGTTCAGAATTGATAAGCACTGTCATGTGTTTCAACTTTCTTACATGAAGTTGCTTCGCAAATTTAGGACACCCCATAATAGCATACTCGGTTGCACCAATAGAAGATGGTACGGCTATCGGTTGCACCAGTAGAAGGTGGTACGCCTCCGTGCTGTAAAAAAAGGTTTAAAACCACTAGCCCTAGACTAAATTCTAGTAAAATTAGAGATTGATCAAAATTGAACCAAAAATCGGGATGGTATTCGATTGCAACAGAGAAAAAGTGTTGTCTCTAGAGCTCAATCATCTCGTGTCGACGTCACCAATCACGTGTGAGATCACATTAGGAACAATAGTGTTATGGACACAAAGAGATGTTTGTTGAAAAATTTAATATTATTTTTATTATATGAAATTAATTAATTAAATGAAAATTAAAAATGATGCCTTTCAGTAAAAATGTGTCTATCCTAATAAAAAGTTGTAACTTTTGACTTTTCAAGAATGATCACATGCTTTCAAAAAAGGTATCTCAAATTCTATAAATAAGGAAGCCTCCCTATAAACATAAGATAACTTTTCATTTTTTAACACAATCATACATAGAATGCACTTAATATTAGAGAGTCTCATTAAATCCATATGAGACAATATTCAATACAATCGGGTTCATTGGAGCCTTGTGATTTGGAGTACTACTATTACAAAAACGTGATCGTTGTATCTTTGGAGATAAGCGCCGGTCAACCATGAGTACCATGCAGAGGAGTAAACTTATCTTAAAAACAAAGTGTCCAACACTCTGTATTTTCAGGTTTTCTTAATTCATTATGTCAAGTTCATTATGCATTACTTTGATATATAATTACACGTATTCTTTGTTAATTTTTCATATAATTTAATATAGCAAATAGACCCTAATTTTTCCAACAATATTTGACTTATAGAGCGAGAAAATATTCTCTCTTTTTACAAAGGGGTCTCGCTCTCGCATCCAGAAAAGGTAACGGAGCAGATCACAGCATGACAAGCACTAGAGCTGCACTCAGAGAGGCCCAAGCAAAAAGTGTGAAAAAACATAAAGTAGGAAAGGGACATCTCCATATAGCCGTTGCCGTTAAAAAAATTGCAATAAATTACGAATCATAAGGGAACGTACAAGGACAAAGAACGACAATGATCACAGAGGAACGAAACAATAGCCGTTGGATAGAAGCCTGCAGAAACTACAACTTCACTACATGGAATTGCATCAAAATGTGGATCAGTTGGGATGTTCTAAACTTCTAGTTACCGAAAAGAGACCGTCGATAAATTTATCTAAATCACGAATAGAACAAATGTTAAGAATGGAAGGGGAGCCTAAAATAACTGCTCCGAGAAGAACAGCACAGTTTATTCACCCTGATACGGAGGAAAAGAGACAGGTGTGCGCGGCTGTTGCATACCTTCCTCGCTCATAGTTTGGCACCAGGGAACTTGCAGGATCCATAACCTGAAAAGAGAGAGAGATGAAGAACCCATAAGGAGACGCAGAGTGTAATTGCACCACAAAGAACTTGTAATGATAATTGGTGTTCATATTTCATATCCCCCTATCAAGCTATCCTATCAAAGCTAATGATGCCACCATACTATAACAATCACCGAACAAAAGAGTAGCTTTTTTAGTCTCCATTTTGTTGGCGGAGAGGTCCTGAGTTTGAATCTCATGAATTAGCGTTGACATAGAAAAAAGATTAGTAGAGCAATTATCGAACAATTCTTATACAACTATAAAACAAAGGTTTTTCTACAATGCGGGATAAATACCGCCAAATGTGAGTGACCGGTCGATCAGTACAATGCACCCGGTGAACCAAACATTCACATCCCTAAACTATCTCGTATTGGTGAATTTCCGCTACAAAACAATATAATACCGTATTGCCATCCAATGTTGGAGAATTCCTGTCAAGTTAGCTATAGCAATGTGCTTTTCCAATAAACTTAATTTCGAGTACCCCATCATAATTTAGATCAGATTAGACTATGTTGGAATTAAACGATAACAATTATGATAATAATTAACAATTGGATCACTAGAACAACTAATTAATGAAGCAAAAAAAGAAAAGAGAAAAGAGAAAATTGACTTACTTGGATCCTTGATGGTTTGAGTAGCGAGCCCGCCGAAGTAACAGCTCCCACCAGCCTTCCTAAACTGAGCCCAATACGCGCTAAACGCATAGCTCGCGTGCCAAAACAACGAATCCGGTTTAAAGCACTTCCCTCCGGGTTGAATCGGGTCACAGGTTTTATTCCCCTGCGAGCAGGCGTACGAAAGAGCCGACGCCACCGCGCTCCTATTCGCCCCCTTCGCCACGATGCACCAAATCGGCCCCTCATATGGCTTGTTATTCTTCGCCGCCGGCAACGGCGGATACTCCGACAAGGGCGTCTTCCCGCTCAAGTCAATCGGGTACACATGCGACCCGTTCGGGTATAGCAACCCGAAATTCCGCTCCGTGCTGGGACCCGGTTTGGTGTTCTCGTTGAATAGAGCGAAGATGAAGCTCGGGAGCACTACACCCGGTCGGGCCGGCGTCCCGACCGGCGGTTTGGCGTTGAATTTTTTTACAACGTTTCGGTTGTAAGTGGCGGCGTTGCGGATGTTAGCGCCAATCTGATCGTAGTCGCCACTGCTGGGCCAGCCCGTTTCGGCGATCCAAATCCGAGTATCTGGGTACCCGAGTCTTTTCATCGCGAAAATCAAAGCGTCCACCATTTGATCGAAGAGGTTGTGGTAAGTTAAGCCGGAAACCGGGTCAGTGACTGTAATGTTCTTGGATTCGAACAGAGCGTAGGCCAAATCGATGTTGGTCGGGTCGGAGGACCAGGGGAAATACGTGTAGACATCGACGAAGAAGAAAGACTTGGTTTTGTTGATAAATTTCAACATGGGTTTGAGGACCAAACCCGAAACATCGGACCGAAACGTGCCGTTCGACGGCGGAAACGACGATTCGAGGACGTCCATGGCCAATGGGGTTCCGACTTTCACTTTTGTGATTCGGTGGGTCTTCAGAGCGGCTTTGATTTTCCGCATTGCCGGCACGAGATTATACCAGACTTGTTTATCGGGTTGGCTGAGGATTTCGTTTCCAACGAGGAGGTACCGAATCAGAGTCTCCGGGTAAAAGGGGACGAGATTGGTGCGGACCCAATGGTCGGCGAGCGTCTGATTGGAGGAGATGTTGTTGATGAGCTCGTTGGGGACCATGATGGAGACCTGGAGGTCGGTGTTACGGAGGGCGGTGAGGATTTTGGGGTTGGCGTCGTAGAGCTTGACTCGCTTGGCCTTGAGAGACTGGATGAGCTTCACGGACTGCGACGGTGGTGGGAGGTTGTTGCCCAGCTGGCCGTAGTTCACACCCACCTTGGGGGCGAGCTCCGCACCTGAAAAAAAATCAAAAGGGGTGAGAGAAAAATACCAAATGAAAAAAAACCCATGTCGCCATTTTTGAGATTTTGGGGAAGAAACTTACTGGAAATGGAAACTGAAAGGCAGAGGATGAGCAGGGGGAGAAAACCCAGCTCCATTTTTTGTGGATTTTGAGCTGCCAGAGTGACTAAAAGATGAGCTTTTGCTAATTGTGTGAGTTTTGGAGCAGAAATAAGTGATCTGGAGCTCAAAGATTGGATCTTTGAGGAAAAAAATAAGAGAGAAAATGAAGGAACTAGGGCACAGAGCTGCTGGCTATTGGACCCCTTTGTATAAAAGGAAGGAGTGCGATGTAGTAGGTGTTTGAGGAGTGAACGAAGATTAGGAATAACTTTATAGAAAAGATAAAGAAAAGAAGAAAGGGGTGAGAGAGAGAGAGAGAGAGAGTGAGAGTAAAGGTTACAGTAGCTGTGTTACTGTTTTTGGGGTTTATTATTAAGTTAATGAGACTTACTATTTTGCTTGGTTTCCATGAAGGTGAGGAAAGGTGGAATAAAATGGCGACTCATATGGCAAAAAGGTCTAATTGGATACGGACGAAAAGTACAGTTAGCCGTTTGAGTGTTGGCAGCTTCAAAAATTTCCAGCTCAGAGGGCTTCTCCTGCCACTTACAGAATATAGCTTACATATGAAGAAAATATTGGGTAGGGCTATGAGCTTTAACATGTCTCCCTTATCAAAACGTGCTAGTATTCCCTCACTTCCTATTCTCTTCCTCTTTCGTTCTCTCTTCTCACTTTTTTTTCTTTTTTTTTTTTGTCTTTTTTCTCTTTATAAAAAATGAATACAAATAGTTGATATGGCTTAATCGTAATTGTATAATTAAAAAAGAAAGAAAAAATGATAGAATTTAGAAGAGAAGAGAACTATACTCCTATCAAAACACTATAATCACTCAATTGAAAAAGAAGACGTCTTGGACTTGCAGAGAGATCTTGAGGACGAGATAGGTTTAGGCTGTTCTATGCACTATTGCTCCTTGTTCACCAACTAATGAGAAATTCTAAGGTTGTGACAGTGATAGCAGTATGTTCAGGGATCTAAACCTTATATAGTGACAAGTTAATGTTATCCACATATATTTTTCTACCTTCCACGCTTCTTGTTAATTTTGCTCATTGATCTTCTTTATTGATTCCACCCAACGACCGAAAATTGAAAAAGTTGTGCGAAAGGTTAATAGGTGTGTATAAATCACCTCCCTAATGCTTAATGCTTCTAGAATCTTACCTACTTACGGATTCAACAAACCCTAGCGAACCTATAACTAAAATATTATAGTCCATAGTATTACTTTCTTTACAAGAATCCCTTATTCCCTTGGTAATTAAAACCGATCATCACTATTACTTGAGACACAAAAAAATAGCTTACCAAATAGAAATCCAACTCTAATCTTTCTCAGATATAACCATCTAAATCAATTAGGGTTTAGCTTTTACGGTTTAATTCGAACATTCTCCCATTAAAAAGTTAAATCTTAAATTAATCAAGTTCGAGTTTAAGATCAAGCAAAAATGTAAAAGTTTATTGCATGCTTCAAAGACAAAGATTTATAACTGTACAAGATAGCTATAACCTAGATTTTATAAGACAACATAATCAAAACGTTGTTCTATCCGTTTATGTAAATTATTTACTATTTGTCTTTTCCCTATTACCCAAAAAAATCAATGCCCGAGTCCACTTTGGGTCACCAATGTCCAATTAATACTTCTTTTTATATCTTTACGATAAAAAGACCAGGGAATTTGGTAAGAAAACGGGAACGCACCGTCGGAACAAGTTGCCCATACGGCCACACCAATGTATTAAAAATTGGGCATTGGATTTTCAATCGAAGAGGAATTCTAAAGGAGCTCTCTTAAAGTGAAATTTTTTATAAATTTTTTGTCATCTCACAGTTTAACGTTAATTTTTGTGTCAATATTATAAAAGATTATGTCAAAAACATGAAGTGACAGAGAATTTATGAAGAATCATAATTTTGAGAAAATCTCTTTAACATATCTCTTTAATTGAAGCCATTATAACAGTCAAATGTATAACTTCATGTTCTTGATATTACAATTTAATGATATTTTTATTATTGTACTTTTCTGTGTAAGTGGAAGTAAATTTTAACAAAGTATCGAGTATCAACGCTGTAAATGAAAGTAAAGAAACAAACAATTTCAAAATGAGAACATAAGAGATTAATACGGTTCAACGTAAAACACATCCACGACCGAATTACGGCGAGAAATTTCACTAAACAAACGAGTATTACAAAAAAGTGTTTAACTCTCACAATCCAAATTCTACTAATTACAAAACCCCAAACTAAACTAGTAGAGAACGCAAAACAAAGAAAGGAGATTCTCTCCCATTATTCTCTAACCCTAAAAAACGCAAATTAACTCTCACAGATTTGTACTCAAATAACCCACACCTGACCGGCCCGGTTCTACTCGAAGTCATTAATTTGACCCTAGTGGACATTCGACCCAGCCCAATACTCCTCCAATTACATTAGCCCAGACCAAAAGCACTCTTTCTAGTTTCTAACCCAGTAGCTCGTCCCTGTTTCCCACATTACTGAATAGTGAATGCTCCCCATTATTACACTCTTCCTCCCTCGCTCTGTCATGATGCCGGTGACCTTACACCGCCTTCTCACCGGCGTCACCGCCACTATCAGAAACCCTAATGTTCGCCTTCTTCCACGCCCACCTCTCCCCTATCGCCACGTACATCCCCACCCCTCATTTCCGTCCTCACATCCGTCACTCTATCTCAACCACCGCCTCCTGTCCTCCGCACCCGCCGAAAACCCTATCCCTCCAAACCCGCTCCGAACCCGAACCCCACTTGAAAAGCACTTCGAGACGTGGGTCCAGAAGCTCAAACCCGGGTTCGGGCCACTCGAAGTGAACGAGGCCCTGAAAGCCCAATCGGACGCGGATCTCGCCCTCGACATTTTCCGGTGGACCGCCCAGCAGCGGAACTACAAGCACAACCACGCCACCTACCTCACCATGATCAGAATCTTGCTCGACGGCAGACGCTACCGCCACGCCGAAACCCTAGTCGAAGAGGTAATCGCCGGAGCCTGTGAAATTAGCGTGCCCCTTTACAATTCCATGATTCGATTTTGCTGCGGAAGAAAGCTGCTTTTCAATCGTGCTTTTGATATTTATAAGAAAATGTTGAATTCCGAAAATTGTAAACCGAATCTTGAAACTTATGCATTGCTGCTGAACTCGTTGCTTAGGAGGTTTAATAATATGCATGTTTGCTATGTGTACTTGCGCGCCGTGCGGTCTTTGTCGAAGCAGATGAAGGCGTGCGGTGTGATTCCAGATACTTTTGTGTTGAATATGATCATAAAGGCGTATTCGAAGTGTTTGCAGGTTGATGATGCAATGCAGGTTTTTCGCGAAATGGGGTTGTACGGGTGTGAGCCGAATTCATATACTTATGGCTACATAGCTAAGGGGTTGTGTGAGAAGGGGAGGGTTGCTCAGGGTTTAGGGTTTTACAAGGAAATGAGAGGAAAAGGGTTGGTGCCTAGCAGTAGTACGTATGTGATTGTGATTTGCAGTCTTGCTATGGGACCGAAGTATGATGATGCGACTGAGGTTGTGCTTGATATGTTGAGTAATGCTATGTCTCCTGATTTGTTAACTTACAAAACGTTGTTGGAAGGGTTGTGCCGGGATGGAAAGGGTGTCGAGGCATTTGATTTACTAGAGGATTTCCGGAGGAAGGATAGTATGATGAATGAAAGGACTTACAAGACTTTGTTAAATGCTTTGCATTTTGTAAATGGAGAGTAGTCCAATTCTTGTGCTCTGAGTTCAGCTCAAGACTTCTGTGCCTTTTCCTTGGTTGGATTCGTATATGAGATAGGGAATCTCATATGGTCGATGCTGAGAGGATGTAGTAATGCGACCATGCCACTATCAGCCTGAAGATGTCTAGCATGTATGTTCTGCTACACATTTAGGCGGTTCTTTTTCATTACTTCTGAGGATGAGTTGGGATTGCTGAGAACGTTTAAGTTCTGCCTTTCAAGGATACGTTAGAGTCGAAGTGTAATTTGGAGGATAGCAGAGTTTACATGTATGCTGGAGCTGCATGGTAAACATGTCAACTTCCAAGGAGTCGGAACTAAGTGAACTCTTTCTCAGGGACTCGGGGGAAGTGATCTTGCAGACCGATGCTACCACGATTTGCGGGTTATATTGCATGGCTTGAACATATTGTTGTCCAGATTTGTATCCCAGGAGAAGAAGCTTGTAAGTTGATTTCCGTTTTCTTATCTGACTGGATGAGTTTTCAAAACAATGATATAGTGGATGTTAAACATGCAAACTGATTTTCAGCGATTTATTAATAAAATACATAACATTCGTTCCAGGCTTTTACTTGATCTTTATTGAGACTTGGCCACGGCAATCCCTACCTTGGGCGGATTCTTGGGTGTAGCTTTTACTTGATCTTTATTGACGCTTGGCATTGTCTTGTAATTTAATTTCAAACTTTCAATGGTTGAAACTTTAGAAATGAGTTCCACACTGTTTGGTTTATCTTTTGTATAGATGATGATTTGTTAAACTGAGTTTTAAATAATTTTGATGTTATTTGGTTCAAAATTGAGATTTATTTACAAGATTGAACTTGATAAAGTTGGGCAAACTCGCATGAACCCAAACGCATACCAAACCCGAATGAGGAATGTAGGTTTAAAGTTGCGTTGACGATCTAACTCGTCAAACCCGTCCAAGATGCACCTCTAGACTCATATAAAGGGTGAGTTCAATACCTAATAATTATGAAATGAGACGTAAAATATGACTTCAGAAAATCAAAACATCTACCATCTTGGAAATAATGATTTGTCCATGAATATTACCATATGTCGATTGTGACATCCCATATCGTCCAGGAAAGTGATCTTTATATGTATATTTCTCATCTCTACTTAGCACGAGACTTTTTGGGAGTTTACTGGCTTCGGGTTCTATAGGAACTCTGAAGTTAAGCGAGTAGGCGCGAGAGCACTCCCATGATGGGTGACCCACTGGGAAGTTCTCGTGTGAGTTCCTAGAAACAAAACTGTGAGGGCGTAGTCGGGGCCCAAAGCGGACAATATCGTGCTACGGTGGTGAAGCGGGCCCGGGAAGTGCCCCCCTCGGGTCGGGATGTGACAATTTGGTATCAGAGCCTAACTCTGGCTGTGGTGTGCTGACGAAGACGTCAGGCCCATAAGGGAGGTAGATTGTGACATCCCACATCGTCCAGGGGAGTGATCCTTATATGTATATTTCTCATCTCTACCTAACACGAGGTTTTTTGGGAGCTCACTGGCTTCGGGTTTCATGGGAACTCCAAAGTTAAGCGAGTAGTGCGCAAGTAGCGCGCGAGAGCACTGCCATAATAGGTGATCCACTGGGAAGTTCTCTTGTGAGTTCCCAGAAACAAAACTGTGAGGGCGTAGTCTGGGCCCAAAACAAACAATATCGTATTACGATGATGGAGCGAGCCCGGGAAGTGGCCCCCCCCAGGCGGGGATGTGACAACGATATTCTAGTATCACATAATAATAGCTATTTTTATGATAACTAAATTTATACAAGTCATGATTTCTCTTGGAGAGATCAAATCAACTATAATTAGCCTTTATTTTATTTTATTTTTGATAAAACAAGAAGAAAAAACATAGACAACCTAACATAAACCGTCGGAACAAATATATCTCATTTTACAAACTCCAAGCACATCATCCCTAAGAGCAGACACAATCCAAGCAGGAGGATCATGGAAAACAAGGCTCTACTTCGTCATTTGATTAGCAACATAATTTCGCTTCCTGAAAACATGGTTCACCTGATATCTGACCAAACTATCCATCATTGTCTTACAACTAGTCACAATTATATAAAAGGGATGAAAGTTATTAGATAAATTTTGCTTGAGCAAAGTAACAGCAGATAGAGAGTACATCTTAATAATGAGAGTAATTATAATTAGCCTTTAAAAATGGAAAATGATTTTCAATTTTTCACACAAATTTTTTCATGTTGTTTTTTCACAGAGAAAATATATGAGGAAGTTTTAACAAAAAGTATGCGGTACTGTTCATTTTAAGAAAAAAGTACATTTTTACACTAAAAAATCAAATCTAGTACTATTTATTTTACCCTTTATTTTGTCATTATCTTTAAAACTCAAAGTTTTCAAACTTTTTCCATTAGTTTTCCTGTATATAATCATTGGTGTGGTAAATCCGTAAATGAATGAGTAAAAAAGGAAAAAATATTTACAAAGTGGACCATTGACTGCCACATAAGCCAAAAATATGTCGACGTATTCACAACCAATAGAATCCACATTTGAGACCCATTTATAGCCCCGAGGGCCGAGACCCACTCCTCGGACAGACTCGGACTGAGCGAGATCGCGAAAATGAGCACCGCTGCTGCAATGAGACCCGTTGCCATTCTCTTCTTCTTGCTGTCTCTCTCCAGCTCCGGTAGGTCTTAAATCACTCACGGAATCCTACGAATTCCTGATTCCATATGGGCTCAAAACTTTCAATTTCATTTGCTAACTTGTTTTTGCTTTCGAACTCTAGTTTTTGCGGCCAAGGAGGTCAAAGAGTTGCAGATTGGCGTCAAGGTAAATTGCCCTTTTCGTTTTTTGTTTCATTTATCTGTTTTCCGAGTCCAATTTGTAATCGGAAACGATGTTTTTATGTCGAAATTGTGGATGATTTGCGGGAGCTGATTGATTTGTGGTGATTTGTGTGTGGGGCAACTGCTTGGTTGAGTTTAAAGTTTCTTACTTGATGAGTCGTTGAATTATGATCTTTTCTTTACAAAGCGGTATTCTAATCTACTCCAATCTGCGGAGGTTTGCGCGTCCTCGCCAACTGGCCTAACTCACATATGCAAGTTACGATCTTTTTTAATAGCATGCTATGTTTAAGACCTTTGGGTTATTTTTTGCCCCGGTTACTTTCGTTGATCAGCTTGGTTTGGATTTGGGTCATTTTCTTTGAAGGGTTGATTGTTCCTATCATTATTCTATGGAGTGCTTTGATTTGCCTGACTCTTGGGTTTGATTTTTTAAGATTTTATTGTTATTTCTTTGTTTTTCTCTGCTCGTGTATTGAACCTTGGACGAAGAGGGGTTTGCTAGACTTGGTTGGAAGTTGGAGCTCATCCTTCCTTCACCTTTATTGATACTTGGAACTTGATTTTATTTTGCAGTATAAGCCGGAATCTTGTGAAGTTAAGGCTCGTAAAGGTGATACAGTCAGGGTACACTATCGGGTAAGTTGAATCTATGGAACAGCTGACGGTGATATGTATGATGGTATATGCATATAAATACTTTCTTGTAATCAGAATCAGATTAGCATTTTGTTATTAAATGTGATTACCAAACATAGCATACTTTTTGTTTTTCTTAAGAAAGGTCAAGCTTTGCAATCATATTCTTTGCTTTAGAAACCTGACAAATCTTGTTATTTCATCATTTATTGGATCTATTCTTATGTAAATTATGCTGCCTATGTATCCGTTGAAGTGAAACCTAATAGCATCTGGTTGAGACTGATGTTAACGTACGTTGTGGGTATTAGTTTGGTATTTTCCACCAGTCTATTCTATCAGCCAGATCCCCCCTACCCCTGCCCGTATTCGGTGTGAATATGGGGTAAACCAACTGATGTTTGCAAATCCTCTGCAAGATCTCTTGAGAATGTTCAGGTTCTGACAGACTTTGTGTCACATAATACGCTTTGACATTCAACTCTCAGTTTCAGTTCATCAGAAGCTTTTTCTTAATTGCTTGTACTCTTTTTCATTCAATATATGAATTCTACCCGCATTCAAGTGGTTGTCTTACCATAAGTCAGATTTTTTAGCCAATTTCTCATCCTATGATGAAGACCGAAAAGACTAATAGTTTTTGTCTTTAACCTTTGCAGGGGAAACTCACTGATGGAACTGTATTTGATTCTAGTTTTGAAAGGGGCGATCCAATCTCTTTTGAGCTTGGGAGTGGTCAAGTTATAAAAGGTTCATGGTGCACTATTTAGTTCGTGTCCATATTCTAATGTAGTTTTCTTACTCTTGTAAAAGTACCTTATGCTGGAATACATAGCAGGTTGTAGGCAAACCCATAGCTTGACAATTGTTCATATAGGAAGCATTTGTTTATTCTATATATCTAAGCCTATGCATAAGTAACCAATTTCAGATAATTACATTCATTAGTTGTTTCTACTGGCTATAATAGTTTAATGAACACTTCAGCTTGTCAATATTCTAACCTGCTTCGTCTACTAATGACGGGCTTACTATGACTGTTTTCTAAAACTTTACTGAATGTACTTTTGGATTAAAGTATGTTCAACTCGTGGTCTTAATAACTTGGGTTCCTTTCAATTTTAAATTGGTGATGGGTATGCTGCATGTAATGGCATTGTAGCCTTTTACTAGAACCATACATGTAGCTTAACTGCACTCTGAATATTTTGGTTAAGATCTCCAGAGGTGGACATATGTATTGTTATTGAAAACTTGGTATAATATTACCTTCAGAATTCAATTTCAGCATATGAAAGGATTTCTTCTTTGCAGGATGGGACCAAGGATTGTTGGGAACGTGCGTAGGTGAGAAGCGGAAGTTGAAAATACCTGCAAAACTTGGTTATGGGGAGCAAGGTTCCCCACCAACCATCCCAGGTAATGAATTTATTCCAATCCGCATGTGTCCATACCTCTTTTAATGTGAAACATGTGTAAAAGCAGTAAGATCCGCTATTTCGGAAATTAAAATCTCAAACGAGTGAGGTTGTTTTTTGAACGTTGCAGGTGGTGCAACACTGATATTCGACACCGAGCTGGTGGAAGTTCTGGGGAGAAATTCAAAAGCTGAAGATGAAGAGCTGTAGGTGGGGAGTGGTTCCTTTCTTAGTTTTCTTGAAGGAGTTCCTTGTATCCACAACCCAGTGGAGCCAAAACGTTATTTTGCTTTTTGTCTTTACTTTATAATCAGGGTATTGTGTCTGTGACTTCACTATTGACCAAAAAAAAAGTGGCTTCACTTGTCAAGGCATGATACGTTGTAAGATTGTTAATGTTCATGAAAGCTTAAGAGATTTTTTTTGATATTTCACTACCATATTGTTAGGAAGATGATTTGTACACTCTTTTTAGCTTCTCACAAGCCCATCTTTAGTTTTGGACGTCACATTGAGTAAATCAAACATAAACAACGGTCAGAATTAAACATGAGTGCGAGAGGTTAAAAACGGTGTGTATTTTCCTATTGTTTGGTTTCATGTTGTAACCTGTTAATTATACCCTACCAATTAAGAGAGAACAGAGGGAATAAATAATGGGTTGCACATGGGTTACACGGTAGAACCTTTCCTAGGCATGCTTTTGGCAAAGCCTGTCTCTTCAACCCAACTGCCTGTAGAGGTTTAAATGACTCGAAACAAACCGATTGCTGAAGTTCAGTCCAGATGGTATTATTAGTGCTTAAGTTTAACTGAAGATTGATGTTGCCATTTAGTACTACGGTCTAGTGGAATTCCTCTTCATTTGTAAGTAAGTGAGATGTCTTAGGTTCGATTTTCGCTAAAAACAAATTTGAACCACATTATTACTAGCTCATTATGAGACTAAGCACATCCCCCTCCCTTTTAGTATAAATAATATTGTTTGTTAAAATTAAAAATTAAAAAAAACTCAGGATTGATATTAACACTGAAAGGATTACAATCCCAAAAGAAATTCAATATTTTGAAATAATTGCATGATCTAAAAATGATCATTCGTTTTGAAGGGATTATTCATTTTGAGCTTATATGATCCAAATTTTTTTTTAGAATAACTATATATTTTATACTAATGGTAGGAGAGAGTTTGGCTAAGCTGCACGAAATGATCCAAAAATTAGCTAAGTCTAACTCGAACTGTTGGAGCTGCCTTTGCCTTTGCCTATCCAGTCAGGATGTTTGGTCGAATTTAGTATCCTTGTTATTCGATGGGGATTTTTCCTATCTTTGATCGGATCAAGACACCTTATCTAATCGGGATTGGGATCATGAAATCAGAATTCTAACCAAGCCAAACTACTCAATTGCTTGGAAGCCAAGTTAAGGCCTAGGGTTTATTTTTTGTCAAATGACCATTATAATTTCTTACATAAAAGCGCAAAAGAAGAAGCCAAAAACTCTAGTTCGTAGGTTTTTCTTTTCTCTTTTACTCCCTCGTATAGTACATTGATTTTCAATTGGAAAACTAGGAATGTTCAAGAAGAAGAGAAAGCCAGACGACATCAACAACCAAGGCCGTTGGCAGACACCCCCTTTTGATATCATGGAGAATGTTGTACAGCGCCTGAACATAAGTGATCGGATTCGCTTATTCATCGTCTGCAAGTCTTGGAGTTCGATTGCTATGCAAACAGACATCCGTAGTGGTCCGCAATTCCCGTGGTTAGCACTCACTCAACAGAGTTCAGAATACTTAGACTTGTCCATCCCATCTGAGGGTAAGGTTATCAAATTAGCGTTGCAAAAGAGAAATCGAGGGTGGTACAATAGTTCCTCCAAAGGTTGGTTAATTATGGTCAAGGAAAAAGTACTAAACTCTAAAGTATTTCTACTAAACCCTATTTCAGGAGCCAGACACAAGCTTCCATCCTTGATCGCAATTCCATCTTTCCTAGGCTTTTGTCAAAGAGGATAAAACGCCACGAGGTGGAGAAGCTGACTATTTTCTTCAGAAAATTGCATTATCTAGTTCAGATATCTCAGAATGCACAGTGGCAGCAATGTTCTCTTCGATGGAATTGGGATTGTGCAGGCCAGGAGAAAAAAGATGGACCATACTGAATTATAAAATTGACCAGCCCTTAGATATATTGTTTTCGTCGAGTGGCAAGCTATACCCCTTGGTTAAAAATCATAAGATTGAGAATGAGAATGGCAGTCTTATAGCTCGCACCATAAGACTTCGAGATGGTTACGAGGTGGAATTGAAGTTGGTTTATGACAAAGAAGAAGAATGGCAACGTTTTAACGCGGATCCTCGCTATCAACGTTTTAGTATTGGTGTTTACTTCAACAACAGACACGAGTCATATTTGATAGAGTCAACAACCCACAACGAAGTCCTGTTGATCCATCAGATGAAGGATTCTATCATATTTGGTCAGTATGATGCAAATAAATTTGTGAGAACTATTCGTATGTTTTAGAATCAACAACCAACGATGAAGTCTTGTTGATACATCAGTTCAAGGATGTTTTCACGACGTTTATATGAAAGATCATGGAAATGATGATTATGCGAGGACTAATGATTTTTGTAGTTTACAAGATTGACCCAGAGAATGACGCTCCAGCCTTAGGGTACAAAGTTTAGGGCACCAGATAGTGTTCATAGGAAAGAAAGGTTCTTCCTTGATCTTTCTGGCGAGTGATTTCAAAGGCTTGAAAGGCACCTGTATTTACTTTGAAGCAAATGGAATCCTCCATTTTGATTCTTCTCAACAACCTCTTGGATTACTGATTGTGTTAAATGAGAGTGGCAACATCAACACAGTGTGGACTAATTAAGTTGGTTCAGTCCAAGTTTATGGTAGCTTAACTAGAGATGATGAGATGGTGAGTTATTTGCTAATTGAGAATTCATTCCTTTTGTTTTAGTACATCAATTACTATTCATAAATCAGTTCCCTTTCTTTTTCTTTGTGAATGCTTCAAAGAGCATTTCCATCCATTTTGGTGGATTTGGATCTAGGACTATACTTATGACAGTTATTATTTACTTAAATAGTAAATTGTCATGACTGTTAATATTCACTTTCCGTTCATTGTACAAAGTAACTAACATGACTGTTACTATTTATAATGATTTATTTTAATGTATAATTCAATTATTTAGTAATTATTAAACATATGAGATTGTTTTAGAATACAATTGGAGGTTGAAAGAAAATTATGAAGCTTGAATTGTCCCTTGATTTATGCTTATGGCGCATTTACGTCAGGGAGTAGGACAAGAGTAATGGGAATTACACTCCTCTCCGGTTATTCAAGTGTTTACCAACACTTGAGGGAATGAAATGTATTTGGGACCCATCTATTACGGGGAACCGGTCTCTCAAACAATAGGTGGGATTTGAATTCCGGGAGAAAGCCTCCATCTTGAATCCCTTTTTCCTACCCAAAATACCCTTATCTCGCCTCCCTTCCACCTCTTTCTCTACTTCTCTGTGTCTCTGTGGGCAGTGACCAATATCAAAGGAGAAGAAAAATCAGAAGGGAGGAAGAAGAAGAAGAAGATGGAGAAAAGAGATGGAGAAGCTGAAAAGAATTGGGGAATGGGGTGTGGTGCGGTCTTCACGAGAAAGAAAAAACAATTGGCAAATGGGGAAGAAGAACCAGAAGAGAACAAGAAGAAGAATCAGAAGAGAACAAGAAGAATCAAAAGGGAGCAAGAAGAAGAAGGGAGGCTGAAAAGAGTTGAGGGATGGCTGAAAAGAATTGAGCGACGGGGTGCAGTTTGGGCTTCAGGAGGAAGAGAAATAATTGAGGGATGGGGAAGCAGAGCAAGGAGGGCTCTCAGTTGGCTTTTTTAATATTAACTACACAAATATCTTCTTGACATTTCAAAAAAAAAAAAAAATTGATAAACCGTACAAACTCATATTACAGATATTTCACAAAGTTTTATTAAAAAAAATATATATATATATATATAAAATATAAAAACTATACACTTGGAATATGGGCAATTTAGTAATTACATTAGTTTTCACTCCGATTCATGTATTTAAGTAAACAGCTTATATAAATAAATATGATTCCTACTCCGATTCCAAGAAATTTTAGTAAACTGTTTCAACAAGAATCTGATTCTGATTCCACCCCATTTCAATTCCCCATCAATTCAATTCCTTCTCAATTTAATTCCCCTCATTTTGATTACGGATTAGTAAACGAGTTTGGTGGATTTGGATCTAGGACTATACTTATGACAGTTATTACTTAAATAGTAAACTGTCATGACTGTTAATATTCACTTTTCGTTCATTGTGTAAAGTAACTAACATGACTGTTACTATTTATAATGATTTATTTAATGTATAATTCAATTATTTGGTAATTATTAAACATATGAGATTGTTTTAGAATACGATTGGAGGTTGAAAGAAAATTACGGAGCTTGAATTGTCCTTTGATTTATGCTTAGTTCAATTATATTGTTCCTTTTTTAATGGTTTCTTGAATTATGTTGTTTTTATTAACGCCTTCTTCTTGAAGTATGGTGCTAGGCTTTTTTATAAGCTTTGTTGAATTATGTTTAATAAAAACGCTTTGTTCAATTATGTTTCTTTTCATAAATTAATGGAATAATTAAAATTAAATTTTATTCTCAAATTAAAGGGCAAGCCTTGTGGTACATCTTTAAAAGATTTATTCTCCTTGTCACTTCCCTTCGATGCTGCCTCCAAAATGCTTGTGTGTTAAAAAATGCGTTGTTATCAACCTTCAAGGACACGATTCCAGATCACTTTTATCAATTTCAAGTTGCACTGCATCCTCAACTTGACTTTTATAAAATGCATCTCTCTCCTTGTCAACCTCATCTCTTTAGCCTTTATCTCTCCATATTTCTCTCTCCTTGTAGAACAATTTGTTCCAAGAATTTTGCACTTGAACTAGGGGGATTGTCACCCCTATTCCTTCTTGCTCTAGCTGCTTTTTCCCAATTGGCCTTGGTTGCAATTCCTTCTTCGATGAATCATGTAGCAGCGTCCTGTTTGAAATAACATTGGAAGCATTCTTAATAATTCGGTATTTTGGATAATTTTTCACAACTTCCCAACATTCGTAATGGTTGAACCTCTGGTGGATTTTGCATCAAGTAAAACAAATAAAGTGGAAAAAAAAAAAGTTATTCTCTTAAAAAATAAAATTATGTTCTAATAAAAAGAAATAGAAAATTGTTACCTGATTCTCAAGATTTGTGCCACTTTGATAATTTTCCGCCGCTTTCGTATGAGCGTCTCTCTATTTGCCTAATGCAAAACTCAAAACTTTCATCCTACAAGTAAGTGCGCCTTCCTTACGACTATTGCCATATCGACTGACATAATCTTTATGAATTTTCTTCCATATATTAGCACACCTTTGCTCATTGCCCATGATTGGACAATGGGTAATGACTTTCCAACGCCCACCCAAGAAAACATCTTCGGCGGTCGACCGTGCGGTTCCGGCTTCGACTCCACCTTCGATGGAAATGCCATTTTTGTAAGCACAAACAAAATAGGAATGAGAAAATAAAAGATTGTATAGAACATGGTGTGGTAAGAAATTTTTTTTTTTTAGTATTTATAGAAAAAATTTATAAGTAATCGTGGGGATTTAAAAACTTGATTGATTTGCGATTTAAAAATTTTAAATCTTATGACTAAACTGGACAAAGAGATCTAAAAAGAGGGTCGCAGGAGAGGGAGAAAGAGGAGAAAAGAGAAAAAAAAAAGTAAGAGATGATTGAAGAAAAGAGAAAGAAGAGAGGGGATTGAACGAGATAGAGAGGAAGAGGAGTGAGAGAAATAAACGAGAGAACGAAGAGAGTGGATTGGAGGAGAGACGAAAAAGATAAAAAAAAAAAAAAAAAAAAAAGAGGAGAGAGAGAAGAAAAGAGAAAGCCATAGATTTGGAGTGAGAGGGGAGGAGGGAGAGGAAGAAAAAAAATGAGTGAGTTTCAATTTAAAAACTCATTTTTTATGTTTTTAGAGAATAAAATATATTTTTTAGTTAGTTTTGAGTTTATTTTTTTTAAAATAATCTTACCAAATAAGTTTTTAAGGTCTAAAACCTGATAATTATTTTTGAGTTTGAAAAGTTGAATTTAAGTAAAGTACCAAACAAACTCTGAATGATTGCGAATAAAAGTAGAAGATTTAAACAATTATGAAAATTAAAGGGTGTGCTATTTCTACGTCTCACACATCTTTTTAATTTTTTTAACTATTAATTTAAATGAATTGAAGAAAATCAATGATAAAAATTAATAAAAATTGTGTAAGAATAAAAAAGCAAGTGTAAAGTAACACTTAAATACACGGCGCTCACAAAATTGTATCCCATAAATAGGAGGACATGTCCACGCTGAATGATTAATCCGAGCCGTCAGATTAAACTCCGGAGCATGATTAGCAACAAATCGACAAAGCACCAAAGCATCTCACAAGTCTCGCGCTGCAACCCAAAACCCTTGCAGAAGGCTCTAGAACTCGAAAAGTTAACACCATAAAAGCCTCGTCTTCCTCACTCCCACACTTACCCAATTTTCTTCAATCTCAGAATCTTGTAATACGCAGTCGAAACCGTTGAATTTATCATCTCGCCTTCTCGAGAAAATGGACGAGGACTTCGACATGCCGGCGGCGGAGGAGTTGAACGAGGACTTCGATCTCCCTGGTGAGGGGCCGGCACTCAAGGTCGGCGAGGAGAAGGAGATCGGAAACCAGGGCTTGAAGAAGAAGCTCCTCAAGGAAGGCGAAGGCTGGGACAACCCCAAGAATGGCGACGAGGTCGAAGGTTGGCGCTTTTATCTGTTTTTTTTGGAAATTTTGGATTTTTGGAATTGTTTTTGGTGCTTTTGGATTGGGATTGATTGGGGGTTTTTGTGGGTTGTAGTTCATTATACTGGGACATTGCTGGACGGGACTAAGTTCGATTCGAGCCGGGACAGGGGGACACCGTTCAAGTTCACTCTCGGACAAGGTGAGGGCTTTTTGGTATTGTTTCAGCTTCAATCTGATGAAATTTATGAACTTGATTAAGTTTTTGGCTGATTCGGATTAGTTGGTGTGTTAATTTTGCACAAATGTACAGTTCCTTTGGACTTGAATTTTATTGTTAGCATATACCGATGCAATTTTAGTAGAAGTGATGACAAGTAGAGGCATATCTTTGATTGGGGAAAACTTTCATGCAACGGGGTTTTCACTGCAATGGTATCTCAAACTAATCACTCAATGTCATGTGCAAAAGTTAAAGCATGTGGCATTGCGTGATCAGTATGGGATACAATTACAGTGGCATCCCCGTTACAGGTCCCTCCTTTTTGATCTGTTAAAAAGATGGAATTGTGTTTCAGTAGTAGCATTGATCTTCAATATGATGTTCCTTGTTAAGCTTGCTTTATCAATTTGTTTTTTTTGATCTTATGATATTATAAGATCATCGTTCAGGGTAAGCTCTCTCTTACTGAGTGAATCTTGTGATGCTGTGGTGCAGGGCAAGTGATTAAGGGATGGGATGAAGGTATTAGAACAATGAAGAAGGGCGAGGATGCCCTTTTTACCATTCCCCCTGAGTTGGCTTATGGCGAGTCTGGATCACCTCCAACGATCCCACCCAGCGCTACATTGCAATTTGATGTTGAATTGCTATCGTGGACCAGTATCAATGACATATGCAAGGATGGTGGTATAATCAAGAAGATCCTGAAAGAGGGAGAAAAGTGGGAGAACCCAAAAGACCTCGATGAAGTTATAGGTAAAAGCTTCTCTTTGACATTTGTTGTTGTTTGCTCGTGCACTATCTGTTGCCTTTGTTTGTTAACTTCGTTCCCTCCCTGTTTGTTATGCAGTTAATTTTGAGGCGCAGCTTGAAGATAAAACACTTGTTGCAAAATATCAAGCTGTGGAATTCACTGTCAAAGATGGTATCCTTTCTCATGTTATATATCAATTCATTTGTTTTATTTTTTAATAGAGAATTTGGCTGTTTAATGGACTTGTTATCTTCTAATTATTGTAATTAGGTTACTTCTGTCCTGCAATATCAAAGGCTGTTAAAACAATGAAGAAGGGGGAGAAGGTACTATTAACGGTGAAATCACAATGTGAGTTGCCTTTAGCCATCATACTTATTTTATTGAAATTCGAAAATAACAATAGTTAAAAACGTATATCTTACCTTTATGTTGGTTACAGATGGATATGGGGACAAGGGAAAGCCTGCCTCTGGCTCTGAGGGTGCAGTTCCTCCAAACACAACTCTTCAAATCACTTTAGAGTTGGTATCATGGAGAACTGTGTCTGAAGTGACAGATGATAAGAAGGTTATTAAGAAGATCTTGAAAGAAGGGGAGGGATATGAGCGTCCAAATGAAGGGGCTGTTGTTAAATGTAAGTGTTTGTTCATTGGGATGAGTACCTTGCAATCTATAGCATGTTAGAATTTTATTAAATTGTTCCTTGATTTTGTGTGGTAGTGAAATTGACTGGGAAGCTGCAAGATGGGAAGGAATTTTTGAAGAAAGGTCATGTTGAAGGAGAAGACCTGTTCGAGTTTAAGACAGATGAAGGTATACTTGCGTGCTTTTGTTTACATTTCTTTGTGTATTTGGCCTTCAGTGGTGCTGAACCATTGTTTGTATTGGACAGAGCAAGTGATTGACGGGCTTGATAGAGCTGTACGGACAATGAAGAAGGGTGAGGTAGCACTCCTGACTATTGCACCAGAGTATGCATTTGGCTCCTTGGAGTCCCAGCAGGAGTTGGCTGTGGTACCTCCTAATTCAACTGTCAACTATGAGGTTGAGCTTGTATCTTTTGAGAAGGTAGGTTGATAATGCCGCTCAGATTACATTGTGCACCATGTATCCCTTGGTATCAAATTATTGTGATAGTGTTTTGTTTTCTAACAATTTTTGAGTCTTTACAACCCTCAGGATAAGGAATCATGGGATATGAATACTGAGGAAAAAATTGAAGCTGCGGGTAAGAAGAAGGAAGAAGGGAATGCTTTGTTTAAGGCGGGTAAATATGCAAGAGCTTCCAAGAGATATGAGAAGGTAGGATGAAAAACATATTGGCTCAAGAATCTGATGGTTTGTCATTTGTTCTTATGCTTACTCAAGCTTACCTTATTCCATGCAGGCTGTGAAGTACATCGACTACGATACCAGCTTTGGTGAAGAGGAGAAAAAACAGGCCAAGGTGTTGAAGGTTGCTTGCAATCTTAACGATGGAGCTTGCAAGCTGAAGCTGAAAGATTATAAACAGGCTGAAAAATTGTGCACCAAGGTTTGGAATATGAATTTATGAAATGCTTGCAACTCCCCTGTTTATTGTTGGCTTTTACAGTGACCAACTGTCGATATGTACACAGGTGTTGGAACTTGAGGGTAGGAATGTGAAGGCTCTGTACCGAAGGGCTCAGGCATATATTCAGCTGGCAGATTTGGATTTGGCTGAGCTTGACATCAAGAAAGCTCTTGAAATAGACCCTAACAACAGGTTTGTGCACCTTGTGTCTGGATTCTCGTTCCCGCTCTCAATTTGTTTCTTGGAGAAGTGAAAATGCTTACGCATTGTTTCTTTGTTGAAACAGGGATGTGAAGCTGGAGTACAAGACACTGAAGGAGAAGATGAAAGAATACAATAAAAAAGAGGCCAAGTTCTACGGCAACATGTTTGCCAAATTGACTAAGTCGGACTCTCCTGATAGCAATGTAAGCATCCTTCTGGTCACCTAGTGGTGTTTTTTTTCTTTTCGTGCTTTCAGGGTTTAAACGTCTGATGTCGTTTGGTGGTTCATGTTTTTTGGCTCTGCAGAAAGAAGCGGCTAAAGATGCCGAACCCATGAGCGTAGACAGCAAGGCATAAAGGGATTGCATCGCCCTCGACTTCATATTGTGTCATTAAGGAGTAAATCCCTAGTTTTTTGAGCTGTAGGACTACTCGGTCTTGGCACAAAGTTGTAATTGATTTGCTTTCTTCACCTGGATTGTGGACATGGGATTTTATTGGTAATTTTCAAGAGTATTAAGGGCATTCTCCCCCAAATTGAACACCTGCTCTAACTTATATTGCTTCGGATAGAATCTATTATTTTAGCTCGTAACATTTTTCCTGGAGATTTTACATAATTCCGATGAACTTGATGAATTTTGACATGCTTTGCCCATCCGCGTCTCGTTCTGTGTCCCAAAATGGCATGTACAAAGAGGGTAGTACTTTGCTTGGACGAATGCCGGTCACCAAGCGGCATCAGTCGATCGGGAAATGAGTAGGTCAGATGTTTGATTGTGCCTCCATTACCGGAATTCTTTGCCTCCGGTGTAACCGGAATTTGGTCATCAGAAATTGTGGGTGGGGTGTGGTGGTGGGTTAGGAGATGAGTAGATCAGATGTTCGATTGCCTTCATTGTTACCGGAGGTGGAGAAAGACGGAGTTGAGGTCGTTTTAATAGCCATACAACATACACTGAGCTGATGCGTGGCGCAATTCGCGACATTGACATGGCTGCATTGATTAGAAAGCCTGCGGTGATAGCATTTTTATTCAGTGTTTCACACTGGAAGTAGTACAAGAAGTCTGGAAACAAAATTTCAAACAGATAACGCAACGCCTATTATATCATACACAATTTGTTTACAACAAAAATAAAGAAAAACAAATGTGATGATCTAACAATTTGCCTACAAATCGGACGAGCCAATGAATCCACTCCTACAAATCATGTTGAGGGTCTTTTCCCCTTGCCTAAATCAATGAGACAACTTTCAATAAATGTCGCTTCACAACAGCAACAATGGTACATACAGTTTTGCATTAAGAAACTCTGGTTATGGTCTACAATACGTGTAAGAACCGACGGGGTTGCTTACATTTGGGGAGCCGACCGCCAGAAACAGCAGGGTACTAAAAGTGACAGCCCTTTCTTCAGTGTGCCCGAGATAGACTTCAAAGCTCCGATCAAAATGACCTGCACGCACCCCATGGGACATTCCGGGGAAGAGCTCAACACTACTCAAAAGCATTGCTCGGAAGTTAACTCACCTGCTCTCCTATCAAATCAAGACCAACAACTAGAAAGGTGATCCCTTGAAACAGCAGGAAGTAGAAGTGAATTCCTTGGGCAGAGAGCAAGCTTCTTGCTGAAGCAGTCAATAGTACAAAGGCAATTACAAGTTCTTTTCTGTATAAACGGTTTCTTCTCTTTTTCCCACTTTTTTTAGTTGTCTCTAGCTTAGTCAGCTCCTCAAGCCCCGATTCTGAGGCTGACCTATGAAGACCGGTAGTTGGCACCAGAGGCACAGACCCCCTTTCAAAAGCAATTAGATCTGTTTCCGATGATCTTCCCAGTTTCTTTGTCACTATCCACTCATAAGAACTCCCAAACTGAAACAATCCTGATATCATGGCATTAAATTTGGTCACTGACATGGTATTCTCAAACAGAAGGTAGGGGACGATAAATGGGAAAGAACGTGGTGCAGGAAGAATATTCAAGACAGACATAATTCCGGGAACATAACAAACAACCCATGCTGGTAGCTGAGCTTCTGGCAGGAACATTGTCAGTGGAAGAATGATGCAAAATAGAGTGAATGAATAAAACGGCAGTATGAGCTTCCGCAAGAGGAAGAAGAGAAATATCAAATTCGCTTTCTTGGTCACACTCACCTGGAATATGAAAATACTAAAGGTTACATTCATGTGTACTTAAATTGGAAAGAACCCTTACATTAAACAGCCAAATAATTCCTGACGAGATTTAGATGACCATGCGAGTCTCTTTTTGTTATAACTCCGAGGTCTCTTTTTTCATACTGTTATAATAAAATAATTAACAGAAAATGAACTTCTATACCCTTGAACGGAGTATGTCAAAGAAACACATGCGGAATAACTGCATTGGACCAGAATGCCAGCGATGTTGCTGTTTCTTGTATGCACCGTAGGACTCTGGAAGTTCACAAACGCACTGCAAAAGCAGCAAGTTCAGCAAACAATACAAGTTTCATATTGTGCAAAGAAACTCCGACCGTGAAAACTACACACACCTTGACATCATTCAGATATATGAACTTCCACCCGCACAGATGAGCGCGAACTGCAACATCCATGTCCTCGACGGTCGTTCGTTCCAACCAACCACCGCAATCCTCAAGGGCCTTAATCCTCCACACACCAGCTGTACCGTTAAAACCAAAGAAGTTGATAAACACACCATTGACCTGTTGTTCAACCTCAAAGTGGAAAGATAAGTTTATATTCTGCAGTCTAGTAAGCAAGTTCTCATCCTTGTTTACAAAAGACCACCTTGTCTGGACCAATCCTAGATCATCATTCCCCTTCAAGACAAATATAAAACCAATTTTCAGTCCAGTAAACAACAAGCCTAGGCGACGAAATTGAAAAACTACATAATCCCAGGTCAAGAGGTAGTTAGTATTCCCACTGCCCCACATTGGCGACATTATTACAAGAAGAGCTAAGTTGGACATAAACTGATATTTTTGCTTACAGTTGTGTATGAAAATGAGATACGGATCAGGTTATTTAAAAAACATATGATATGCATATGCCATGTGTGTGATTGAAATATTCACAACCCAGATATGATGACCAATACCAAAGTGTCAAAGTATGAGCCTGAGAATGATGGCGAGCTCCTAATTGCATACTTTGGACATCATTAAAGAAGATTGTAAACCATGACTTAGTGGATGCAGAAAACATGGATATATATACACTGTTTTTCAAGTGTTGTGAGCATAATCATTTACATAAGCTGAGATGTAATGAATGGTCCCATTCTATGCATGTAAACCCTATATTTATCCGAAACATTCAACTGTTTATCAGAATAGTGTGGTCTAGTAGGGATTGAAAAGTTACCTTGAAATAAGGAATGGTTTTCTTCAAGAATCCAGGTTCCGGCTGAAAATCTGAATCAAATATGGCCACAAATTCATAATTTTTAACATAATCGCAGCTCATAGCAGATTTCAGATTCCCTGCCTTATACCCTGTGCGTATAAGCCGATGTCTGTACAATATGGGAACACCCCGTTGTTGCCACTTGTTTACTTCTGCCTTAATAAGTTGTTGAACCTCTATATCATCAGAATCGTCCAAAACCTGTACAAGCATTCTCTCATTCGGCCAGTCCTGAATACAAACTGCGGCAATCGATTGATGGTAAACCTGTTCATCACCCAATACGAGCACATATCAGTACCCAAATGAGTGACAAAGGGGGTTTCTACGAAGAGCATGCGAAATACTTTTTGCCTATCAATGCAGCATTATATCTGAAACGGTAACAAATGATGCCAAGTTCTTATTTTTAACATCTAACAATATGAAGGGACTTTCTAGCTCATGAATTGTATCAAAAAAGGATAAAAATTGAAGCTTGATTCTAACTTGCATGGCTAAAAACATAACTGAAGCACAACAAAGAAAATCGAAACGGTGTCGTTTCAGGGACGAGAAACCTACATCATCTTACCTCCCTCTCATTGCACATAGGAATCTGCAGCAACACCATCGGATAATCCTCCAAATTAACTTTCTCAGCATTTCCCTCCTCCACATTGGACGACGAAGGCGACGACGTCGTTTTGTACTCCATGACCGCCTTGGGCTTGACTCTCCGAAACTTGATCCAGAAGCATCCGAGCACCAAAACGACGCGATCCACCGACTGAATCAGGAAGAGCACGATGCAGACATTGGTGAAGCTCTGCAGCGGCGGCGCCAAGTAATTGACTCGAACGTGGAGCCAATTGGCGTACACGAGCTCCGCCAGCTCCCCCGATCTCACGGACGGCGGACTGAAATGCCATCCCTTGAAGTAAGCCACAAGCTCAAAGCAGAGCAGCAGCAGCACGACGATCAGGAAAACTTTGATCGCGCGGTAGAGGCGGGAGGAGGCCGAGTCGGCGGGCGAATCGGGGGAGGTGACGCGGCGATTGGCGGTCCGGAGAAGGACGAGGAAGGAGTTGGCCACGGAGGCGAGGGAGGCGGCGATTTGCTGGAATTTGAGGCGGCAGACCCAGGACAACTGGCGGGCGCTCCGGGACCGGTCTTTTCCGACCGTACGATCGGGGCGGGGGCTGTGGATATCGACGGTGAGGAGTTGGCTGGATTCATCGGAGGAGAGGAGGAGGTCGTGGTTGCTCTGTCTCTGCTTGTTCCACCATTCTTGAAACTCGTGGTTTTGAGCTCGAGACATTAATTTAAGTAATTCAAATTAAATTAAATAATAATTAATATAAATATATATACTTCTTCTTCTTCTTCGCCGTCGTCGTCTTCGCAGATCTCTGTAATTTTTGTGTGTGTAAAATTGTGACTCCGTGATGTGTGTGGCGCTGAAGGAGGAGCGGGAGCTTTTTTGCGCTAAATTTAGTAAGGGACTTTCCGCTCGGACATTTTTGTTTGATTTTTCGAACTTCCCACATTTTTGTATTTTATATTTGCCTAAATTTAAAGAATAAATTGTAGTAATGATTCTTTAATTTAAACTCAATTGAAGTAATGATCTCTTAACTAAAAATCTATTACCATTTATCTATTAACTCATCAAAACGTGCAGTTATGGTTCTCAACTAAAAATTCATTAACAATGATCCCTCAACTTTAATCCAACTGGAGAAATGGTCCCTCAACTTTAATTCAATTGGAGAAATGGCCTCTCAACTTTAACCCAATTGTAGCAATGGTTCTTCCAACATAATTCATTTTAATAAAATTCTAATGAAGTTGATGAACATGACTATAACTATACATTTTGATGAGTTAAGAAATTAATAGTAATAGATTTTTAATTAAAAAACTATTATTTCAATTTGATTAAAGTTGAAATATAAGTACTACAATTTACTCAAATTTAAAAGCTGTGGTGTGTTGTTTGTTGCGAGTGCGAGTAAGCCAACGTGACTTTTCACTTTTATTTTCATATCTACATTTTTGCTTATTGGGAGCAAACTCGGGATCTCGACTATAAAAGTGAATATTTTTATTCTACAAGGTTTTTTCGACATGTGTACCAATTATTGGATGGTGAATTTTTAACATTGTCACGCTCTATCGTTGTCGTTGGTGCTAGTAACCTAACATTTTTATGCCACCTTGATAGCAACTATCAAATGCAAGTGATTAAGTGAAGCCCAAAAAAGAAAAGAAATAGTGATTAAGTGAAGCTTACATATTCATGTAAGTTTTACTTGTAGCAGAAAGGTGATATTCCATGCGACAATGTTTACTAAAACAGCCCCATCATTAGGGGTGGGTTCAAAAAACTGAAAATCGAAAAAAATGGAACCAAATACTTAACTAAAACCGAAAACAGAAATAAAAACGGAATTAAAAAAGAAAAAATCAATCCGAACCGAACTTAATCGAACCTTATTGGTTCGGTTTCGGTTTTGGAGGTTTGGAAACCGAATTCTAACCAAATCGAACCGAATCCCTTTACACTTTATGAATGTATGCCCATGACGTTTCTTTTGTAAAACTTTGTTGTCAAGTTTGAAACCAAACCTAGGGCTTTTTTAAGGAGCATACTTGGTTCAATTGAGGATATTTGATTGGTTATAGAGGAAAGTTTTGAAAGGCTTTGGAACTTAGAAGAGCTTCTCTATTTGTTTGCTTTTGAATAGATACAGTGATCATTTTTCTTCGCAATTGAGGTTGTTGATAGAATATAATTAGTTTATATGTATAACTACCTTCCCACTTTCCTACTTTTTCTATTTTTTTATTATAAGTCTATCAATGCAAGCCTCCTTTCTAAATTCCATATTAAAAAAGAAAAAAAAAAGATCAAGTTTTATAAAATAAAATAAAAAACCGAAACCGAAACTGAACAAACAAAACCAAACAAAAAAAAAAACGGAAAGAAAATTGAACCGAACCCACCCCTACCCACCACACCTCCTCCTCCCACCGCCTCCCATCTTCTCCTCTTCCTCCCACAAACCGCACCACCCCTCCGCCTTACTCCCCCACCCCGGCTCTCTTCCTTAGCACCCCCTGCCTTTTTTCCTTCCACTCCATTTTGCTTACCTTCTCCTCCTTCTCACCTCTCTCCCATTTTGCTACCTTTTTCTCTTTTCCGTTTTTCCCTTTTACTGGGTTGTTGTGCCCCCATCCCTCACACGATGGTAGCGTATCCCATCTTTCTAAAGATGGTGGCCTCCCCTATCTCTCCTCAGATGGTGGTTCGGGAGCTTGATTTCCCACTTTTGGTTATCCTCCAATTTCTCCATCTTGCTATTGTGTACCAGATTTCTGTTGCCTCAAATAAACCTCAATGCCGTAACCCATTCTATAGATCCAGACCCCAAGACTATCCTTTGTGGTCAATTTGCCCACTTTCAATTGAGAAGTCTGACCGAGCTTCTATGTCTACTGCCCACCAATAGAGCAAATCGCCGCTCATTCAGTTGAAGGTGTGTGAAACTAGACACTTAGGGTTTGCATGTGGAGCTTTGCCCTGCCTCATTCTTTGGTTCTGAATTCATGTCCTACGTCACGAGCATTGGAACTGTGTTCTTACTGGTCCCCAAGCAGTGGTTATAGCTGTGAGGTTTGGCTACTCCCTTCGGTCTACAGATTTATTAGTGATAATTTTGAATTTTGTTTTAAGTTTTATGATGTTGTTGGTATGTGGTTTAGCATTGTTTTTTGTTTTGTTGGGGTTTTGTAAGTTTGTTTAAGGAACGATGCAGGGGTGAACAATTGTTGTTTTGTGGTGCAAAAATGACGATGTGGGTGTTGGCCGCTTCTGGTTTCTAGGTAACTGCAGCGGGTCATCCCTCACCTTTGGGCTCCTACTGCTTGAGCCCTCGTGGAGTATTTGTTTTTGGGTCAAAACTATTTCATGTTTTTTTTCTTTTATGTACTATTTGTAATTGTTGCAAGGGAACCTTTACTTATGTTTTGTTTGCATAAGTGGCGTCTTCTTTATGTATGCCGGTCCGTTCTAAAGCTACGTACGATGTAATCTATCCGTTTGGACTTTGTTTTATGAATGTTCTCTACCTTCTGACTAAAAAGAGAGGTGATACAGTACAAAAATGTTGTCATCTTAATATCATACATTTCTTAATAGTGTACCTAATGTGAAAACGCATAATCCAGTCATATTATGACATAAATTATTAATGGAAGCAAGTTAGGCACTCTACTTTAGACATAACACAAAGGCTAAAAAAAAGAGTATTTGAAGGGTTAAAATTAGTATGGCTAACCCATTGTGTGACTTAACTAAAATTTTTCGTCTCTTATTATAAATATATATTGTTGTCTAAAAAACAATTTAAATCGCTGGCCTTTCTCACACCATGTAAAGGCATTAACGTAAATTACTAGCACCATTATCATCATTCTTAGAAATCTCTCAGAATTTTGATGGTTGTAAACGTATTGTTTTACCTTTTCTCTTAATCGATTGGAAATAATTTGCTTTAAGGATCGTTTGATAACCATTTTATTTTCAGTTTTAGTTTTAGTTTTCACTTTTTATTTTATTTTATTTTTTTTAAATTGAAACTTGAAATCTTATTAAGTAACTACTTTTAGTTACAGTTTTAAAAAGAATTAAAAACCGAAAACTACTTTCTTAAGTTTTTAAAATTTGGTCTTGAATAGTCACTTAGTACTATGCTCTAATAATATTCCTCTTCACTTATAAGTGAGAGGTCTTAGGTTCGATTCTTGCCAAAGGCAAATTTGAACCGCCTCTTCACTTATAAGTGAGAGGTCTTAGGTTCGATTCTTGCCAAAGGCAAATTTGAACCGCATTATTGCTAGCTGATTGTGAGGCTAAGCTTACCCCCTCCCCCTTAGCATAGATAATATCGGTTGTTCAAAAAAAAAAAAAAATGGACTTGAGTTTTCACTTTTTGGTTTTTAGTTTTAATTTTTTTACAAACTGAAAGTAGTTACCAAATAAGATGGTCTCACAGTGAATGAACTAGTTGTTTCTGTTTGTGCTTTTCTACCCCAAAGTTTTGTTTGGTTGTTGTTGTTAGTTGTTATTTCGGTGAAAGGAGGAAACCTTCTTATCCTGGAATGGTTTGTCTGCTTTGAAGATCATTTTCTGCCTTTTCACTTTTAAAATTTTAGGAAGTTGTTGGAAAATAAAATCAGTCATTTGTCCAATTGGTTCGATTCACTAATTGACCAACTGATGTCTTATCTAGTTACGAATTATGTGTCTGCTTAATTGTTTGAACAAACAATATGTCATTTGTCTCTTTGACAACAATGGCTCCGTATTAGAATGCGTAACTCATAAAGCAATTGATCTACTTGACAGGGCGGGAAGCGAATGCAGATGAAGATGCACAGTTTGATGCGTCTCTCATCTTGATTAAAAAGTGGTGAATTTACTATGCTCCTCATTGAGTCCAAGCTCCCATTTTTCATTCGATCCTTCATTAATATAGCCTCATATCTACGTGGTTACAGTAGTTTTAAATATCGCTTCATTTAAAAAAACCTGCATTGGGCATAAAGCACAATTAACTAAGCTAAAACCAAGACCCAAATAAGCTTTGTTTCTTCACATGTACCAAATGAACTCACTAGATTGACTTAGGCCTGGTTAGGTACTGAGGTGATTTTGAAAAAAGCTGGTATCAAAAAAAGTTAGGAGCTGTTTTTGTGTTTGGTAAACATTCAATTTCAACTTTTTTTCACAGTTTTGGATGAAAAAAAGCTAAAAACAAGAAGTTGCAAAATCCAGATTTGAAAAAACCGTTTTTTTTTCACATCTATTTTACATAAAAGTTTACCAAACACTATAATACTGTTTTTTTTTTTTCAAAAGCACTTTTATAAAAAAGTTTACCAAACACTCTGCTGCTTTATTTCACAGCTGTTTATTCTCACAGCACAGCAGAAGCAGTTTTTTTTCAAAGCACAATAATACTAAACCAGCCTTTACAATGCTCAAGTCCGATCAAATTGGGCCTGAGCCCTAAATGAAGTATCTAACATGATTCATAGGCCAGGCCGAACTTGTTTGGGTTTGTCAGCCCAACTAGACACGAGTTGCAACCTTATAACCCTACTTCTGATAGGGCCTAAATTTCAGATTGTTTTTTTTTTTTTTTGAGTTGTTCATTTGGGTAATGCCTGCCTAATCATATTTGGGATGAATGCAATGAGTCCCACAGTATATGAATTCTACTACTTACAATCTTCAATTTAAAGTTGGAATTCAGTTCGGATTGCAATGAGATTGTTTTACTTGATTTGTTGTATAGGGTTTTAATTTGGATTTGTATTAACAAGGTAGAGCTAGTTACGCACCCACAATAAGAGTTTGACTCTCGCTATTCTCTTCTCTTCTCTTAAATCACTACATATTGTTAAGAGTTTGACATTCACTCTTCTCTTCTCTTTTCTTCTTTGTAAACTGAGTTATATGCTAGTTGGTTAGATCAGTGTGTCCGTCTCGTTGCACTCAAATTCAAAGCTCTTTTGCATAAATTAGAGTATATTAGAATATCGCTTTTGCTAACAAAATTTTTGTAGAAGTGCCAAGGAAAGTAAAATATTTTTACATACACACAAAGTAAAAGCAAGTAAAAAAGTTGATAGCATAAGTAGGACAAGAAAAGGAAGTCAATGGTATTTTTTTTCAAAAAAAAAAAAAAAAAAAAGTTTGAAGTTCTCCAAGAGTTTCTTGTTTGACATTTGGGGCTCAACACTTTGCCCATGACAAAAAAAACCGTCCACCATTAAGAGAAGGAAAATGAGGTGCGATTGTGACACTTAAATCTATATACTTTCCGAGCTAGATTTTATGAAAAGGAAATGGCATAAGATGCTTTTGATTTCGTTGATTAATGTGTAATTTGCAACAAGAAGCAATAACCTCTGTAGAATGCATGGGAAAAAAAAGAGACAAACACGCTTACAGTTGGAGAGCATGAAATTATAATGCATATGCAAGTGTTTGGTGAAGCAAATGATGACTGTCAATTTCTTTCTTTCTCCCAAAAAAAGCAAAAACAACACAACCAAACCAAAGGTAAAAAAACTCTAATGAGAAATGAGTGATTTTAATAGTGACAACTTGGTTAGTAGGGCACCTACCCTAATACTTATGGGTCACCCTGCATAATTGACCTTAAGCCACCCATTGTCCTTGAGACTTGAAATCTCTCCAAACATTCTTTCTAGCTCTAGGTGAGGAGTTAGCTGGGTAGGGTCTCTCATTTCTCTTTGGTTTGGTTGCAATTTGCAAAATCCAAAGGGTAAGCTAGATGTATCTCGCGGAGACCCGAAGCCTTTCCCTTCCATTATGGACATAGATTTGGGCATTTGATTATGACATACCACCCATATATTTTTTTTCCAACAACGAGCTCAGTACAAATATTGTGAGATTTACTTGCATTAACAATTGGCAATAATTATGTATGCGTGCGCAAGAGTCGTGTTAGTGACACTCAGCTATCTACATGGACAAAAACATATGCACAACACGCATGTGGATGGCAGTTAGTCGTTGATGTATTGTGAGACTCCTTGATAACAACTAACAGATAGTTTCAACGACGTCATTCATTCAATTGATGAATTTTGAGATCAACTTGTATTTAGAAAATAAACTTTATGTCTAATAAATACTTATCACGTGGTGAATTGATTAATTCTAAGATCTACTTGTACCAACCATTAACAACCAACCATACATGTGTAGGCTCACTAGGCTGCTCATTATAGAACGAAGTCCCAAGCCTAAAAAAGAGTTGTGCGAGCAATACTTGCCCATGCGTGGGAAAATTATAAATAGAACAATAACAATGTGCGAGTGACATTTAGGACTTTTGAGAACTACTTACATTAATGTTTGACAGTCAACTAAGCCCGCATATAGTATGAGTGATTATCAATTGTTGATATGTGAAACTTACATAGATTAATTGATAACCAACTTCAAGTTCATGCATGAGAGTATCTCCTTAGCACTTCTCATACAACAAAACTATGCGCGACTTTTGCATGAGATTGTAGTTCACAAATATTGAACCAAGCAATTGTCAAGGTTTAGAATTCTAAAGTTTCTTTTTTAGAATTCGAAGTTCCTTTTAGAATGCTAAGTCTTAACATTAAGAACATTGAAATTGGGTGCCAGTGCAGCCTAAACTGGCCAAGTCCATGTCTTATTCTCATTTTCTGAGTTGTCTATCTCAACCTCATTAGCAAAACATGAGGAACAAAAGATTAATCAGAAAAGACCACCACAAGCAAGCAAGCATCCGAAGAAACAACTTCAAAAGTGGATCAAAGAAGCTGACAAAGAAAAATGCAAAAAGATAACAAAAACAAATATCAATCGCATACACGTCTCCATGCAATTGGCCTTGAATTTCATGGAGACAAAACTGTCAGGCTATTATTTTCTAATTGTAATTATTTATTTGCCTATCATTGCAAATTATATATAATATGTCATGTAACTGTTCAGAATGCTATGCACCAGAAACCACCAAAGCATCTTTTTCATCTGGTAATTATATTACACTAATCTGCAGACAAATAATAGACCCCTCAATTAAAATAAATGATTAAGGCTGCAATGCACTGATCTTTTGCTCAACCCTAAACTAGGATTTTTACTAACCACCTCTTAGAGAAGAAAGATTAGGATAATTTTAAAGGGCATCTTTCCAAACCTGAACTCCACTACACAACCCTTTTTCTTTATTTTTTAATTACACAATAAATTTAAAAAGTGGTTGAAGATTATAAAGCTCCTTTGGTTCATTGGGCCTAGTCAGAATCTCACCACTGCCAACCTGGGATTCTTTTGATGTTCTTTGTATTGTTGTATATTGTAAAAATAAAAAAATTTAAAAAAAAAAATCTAAACAATTTTTAATGGAGTGGTTCTAACTTGTAAGTTCTAACCTCTCTGCTCATTTTTTTTTATTTTTTATTCAGAGCAGTAAAAAGGGAACAGAAGCTTCTGTTTTTGGATAATCTGTGAAAATTACAGGAGCACAAAATGTGGCAGAAATCATGGCTGACCCCAGCTCAAGATTATAACCAATTGTCTTAATCATTCAAATTAGACTTTCTTAGAGAGCAAGTGACCCCACTCCTACAGCTAGTTGCAACCCAAGTTTAATTAGAATCAAATCCAAAAGATTATGCAAATTTCACTGTGATCAATTGACATGACTTTTGTGGAAAATTACAAAATTCTCATTGAAATGATGACAAAGCTCTTCCCTCTAATAAATTAATTAGCATTGTTATCTTACAGAAATTGCTTCTGGGATTTTACAGTGGATAAAACAGCTCTCCCCAAAAGAGGAAAAAAATTGGAACAAGAAATTACATTGAGTAAACGAAGATGAAAGGAAGACAGAAAAATTAATGGCTCTCCAATAGGAGAAAATCTTGTGGTTGGGATGCGCGACGACTTCATCTTTAAGACACCTCTCATAAAAGTATGAGATTTTCTTATATGAAATTCCATCCGACTCCAAGCAATCCCAATCACTGTGAAAGCTGCTCTAATCATGCAGCCCTACCAAATATTTCTCTTTGAATAGAATAGACGTCAAGGGTTTGGTACCAAGCAATGGATAAAAGGCTCGGTATCAGCACAGTGCATGCAAATCTTCAAATGTTTTTTATATCTTGTATTTACAATAACATCCCCTCTGTCCACATTATTATGGACTGACAAAATGGCGATCAGAGCTCAATTTTCATGTGCGATACTTGATTTGAACCTGCATCATGTATAAAAGAAAAATTGCCATCATATGAATTTGTGTTTTACAATTTTATACGTAGGAATGTGAGGAATTGTATTTTTGGTTTATTTTTCCTTACCAAGCAATTCTGATTCTCTGGTTGGATTTTGGCCAAAACCCATCTGAACAATGGTATGCAGATCATCTTCACCAAATGCTGGAAACTGGTAAAAGTAAACCAGAAAGAGTTGGATAATTTTTTTTTTTTACCGGACAATTAATATATTTCTTAAACAACCTAACCTGTAGAAAGGAGAACTCGAACTTATGTGTAAAAGGATAGTCAACTAATCTAACCAACTGACCGAACCCTCGACAAACTTAAAATATTGTGGAAGTAAAACAGTAAAATTAATTACCTGAGGAATGCCTTCACTACTAAAACCACTGAGAGGAGGTAATTGCATCCCAAGGCTTTGGCACGGTGAGGTATTATCCAAGGGGTCCACTGCCCCATTAGAAAGTGCTGGATTTTGCTGGCGTTGGTGTCCATAAATGGCTTGTGCCGAGGAATCTGATGGGAATATTGGATGCTGTGGCAAGCCATTGTTTTGTTGAAATATCTAAAACCAAAAAGGAAAGAAAAACAATTCAGAAAAGTTGGAAAATATTCATTTAATTATGTTTTTAGAGATTAAATTATGAACCTACCTCTTTTGACATTAGGGTTTCCATGTTGAAATCCAGTCTGGTGTTCACAGAAGACAACTTCATGGAGAGAAACTGCATACAAAGAACATGGAAATATACCCGATTAGGGAAATGACATGGAATCTGCATTCTGCAATCCAAATTTACAATTAGATATCTGTGTTGACTTTTTGATAAGTAAAATGTCAATTTTTACCTCGACTTGGCGTTGTAATGACTGCACGTAATTTATAATCTCATCAAGCATAAGTGCTTTTCCAGTCACCTAAAAAAAAGCCAAAAAAATATCGAAGTCACGTTAGTAAAAGTGGCACATTCATGCACTTCAGAAAGTTAAATGCTTTTCGTACATTAGGGTTATGCCCCTTCACCCTAATTAATTAATATATCTGTAAATTAAAGTGGCTTAGAATATTGCAGCTTTGTATTTAACGCATACCTTGTTGCACCCAGGCACAAGATCTTGAAGAAGCTTCATCCTTTCACTAATCTTCTCTCTTCTTACCTATCAAAATTGCACCAAAAAAACCCATGTCACAACAAAGCTAGAAATTAAAATGGAGGAAATTAATTTAAATTAAATTAAAACTACACAACCCATATTTCTTACCCTTTCAGCAAGGCTGTGGCTGTCAGTGGCTTGGCCCCTTCTTGCTCTTACATGAATATAATCCTTGGGAGGCTCAGGTGGCTTTGGACCAGTCTTGGTTTGCTTCTCATCAGAACTGGTGCTTCCCTTTGCATCCTCCTCAGCTTTCACAGACCCATTTTGGTCATTCCCATTGTTTTCACTTGGCTTGCTTCTCTTTGCATTAGAATTTTCGTTAACTTCAGCCCCCTGAATGCAATTAACAAAAAGTTAATTGCTTTAACTAAAATGATGCACAAACTCAAAATCTAAAATTTCTATTTAGGCCTAATGATCACGTCAGTGCGCCCGCCCTTTGCACTTTGAGCACAAATCTTGCTCTCCGGGTTGAGAATTGAAAAAAGTTAGTTGCTTTATAATAATTAAAATGATGTAGAAAATGAGTTTATGTCAGTTGATTGCGTCAATGTGCTCCGCTCGTTTCTTTTTCCACTCAAATTCGAATCTCAGCCGTATAATTTAGAATATCTTCTCGTCAAAGAAAAAATTATAGAAAATGGGTATTGTATGTACCTTTGTGGAAGTTGGAGATGGGGATATTGGAGGAGGATTATGGTCCTTTGCTTTTCCTTTGGAAGCTGATTTTCTTTTCCTAGAATTCATATCCATGGAATTGGTCTCCCCGTTTGGTTTCTGCTCAGAAATCGTCGATTCCTCTCGGGAATTGGGGAGTTCACTCCGATCCTGCAGCAGAGCACGCATCTTTTCCTGCATACTCGTCTGAGATCCGAGTGCCTTAATCGACGAACTGCTCGAAACCCGAGGAAGCTTGCCGCCATTTCCCGCTGCGGGATGGGATCTAAACGGCGGTTGTTCAGTACTGTTGTTATTATTCGTTCCCAGCTGTGATGTTCTGCCATTGAAGCTCCTGCTTCCGAAACATGAAAACTTCGCCGCCCTCTCGGCGAATCCAGGGTCGGCAGAGAAATCCGCCATGCTGGAATTCAAGGCCATGGAGTTTGCTAAATTGGGTTGCTTTTCTTTCTTCAAATGGTGATCCGGAACGGGCAGGTTTAACTTGGGCGGCGAGTTCAACGGGGTGCTGTAGCATGAAGTGTTGGCACTTGCATTTCCATTTCTACCCATGTAAGAATTTTGAATTCCCAGCAACAACTGGGAATGTGACGAGAGATCGTTGGAGTTTCCGATGCTTCCGAGCTTTCCGATCAGTTCCCTGATCACGAAGCTCTCGTTGGAGATGTTGGAGTTGGACGCCGCCGGAGATGACACCATTGAACTCAGGGCTGATTTGAAGTGGATGTTCTGGTCGGTTGACTTGTTGTCCCAGTTGGGATTGTAGAAGCAGTCCGGGGACTGCTCCAAAGAGCAATTTTGGTCCACGGCAGCGGCCTGGATGTCCACGGCGGTCGAGAATGAAGACCGCCATGCCGGCATTGAGGATGCTTGTTCTAAGAGAAGCGGTGATGGGATTCCGGCATTTAGGAAAAAATCATTCTCCATGATCGCCAAATTGTCAATTGGTAACCAAAGACTGAAACTTTATAATGCTGCAGCTGAAAAGATTGTTTTTTTTTTCTTCCGGTTTTTCGGAAAGGCGACGAGGTGGTTTCGGAAAGAGAAGCAGAGGAAGTGAAAATTTGGGTGTGGAGAGAAGAATGTGGGGTTTGGATATATATGATTGTGGGAAGAGAGAAGGAGAGTAATGAGTGAATGGTTTGGTGTGTAAAAAGCTTAAGCAAAAAGCAGAGAGAGAAAAAAAGGAAGAGAAACAGAAAGAAAAAGAGAAAGGGAAGGAGGCGAAGGGGAAGGGGGTGGGTTTGTGGGGGTGAAGAAGTTAAATAGGGGAAAGAGGGATAGGAAAAAGACGAAGGTTGGTTTGACTTTTTGTGCTATGGTTTTTAAGTTGGGAGTGTTTAGACAGAACGTCGTCTTAAAACTACTCTAATTTACGAAGATTTACGCAATAAAAGAATATTGTCATTGTAAATTTGTCTACATAATATTGTATTATTTGCACGAAATGTTATCGTAATTGTAGTCATGCTATATAATATGTCCTCCTAATTTATGTATTCGTTACAACAATATATATACACCAAAGAATATGAGAAATAAATCAGTATCAAATGAGTTATTCACAAAATTTAAACTTAAAAACTCTTATTATGGAACTGAAATACTATCAGACGATGGTACTAAAGTGACACGTGTTTGAGTGTTTGGTTTGAAGGTTGTTAAAGGGAGGGGTAAATGGTAATTTTACTTCGTCTGCCTCCGCAAAAGGCGGGAAGGAGGATGGTTGCCGGGCCTTGGACGTAATTGTCCCCACTTCCCCTCTCGATGTAAGCAAATCCGCGTCCACTGCCCCTGGAACAAGGGCCTGGGAACCACTGCCAGTCTCTCCCCGCCTTCTACTTTTTCTTCGGTTTTTGTTTTCTAATTTTATAAAATTTCATTACTCATGTATTTGTTTTTTAGGAAATTGGTTGAGACGGGAGAATTCTATTCATATCGGGACATAAAACGTGACTCGAACTCAAGAACGAAGCCAGAAATTTAATTAAGAGGGGGCACCTTAAAAAATTTGAGCTCTTTTTTTGGACAAATAAAGCTTGTTCTTTTACAAATGCTGAAAAAATAAATTACAAAATGCCTAATTTTATTACTCTATTGTCTAATTTTGTCTTCAATTGTTGACAATCTAATGCTCATTTGTACTAATTAAATAAATACATGCAACTCAAGAAGGTTTAGACATTAGTGCGTGAGAAAAATATACAAGACGGATGGATATTTAAAAACTAAAAGAAGATTTTCATTATTTTAATATGATTAATTGAATAATCTGCAAAGCAAAAAAAATGGAAATGATTAATTGAATAATTTGTAATGAAAACAAATGGGATGAGAGGGGGTATGTGCCCCCACTAGGCCTTCCTTCCCTCCGTCCATGCTCCAACTTTAGTCATCAATTGGAGCAGTGTTCTAACTAATATAATAGTAGAGATTTAGAGACCTCTTAAATCACTGGAAAAAACTCTGAATGAGTCAAGGGCTCGGCCACTAAGATAACAGAGTGATTTTGGACGCATCCTGATCACTGTGTAAGAAATTTCTAGCGGCTTTAAGCATGCAGTTGTAGAACCGTGAGACATGAGGAAGAAGATGAATTGTCCTCATGAAAAAAATTGAGTCGAACAACGTCGTGTATTATATTTTTCTAATGGTTTTGTTTGTTTTGACTTTGTGGTTTAGTGAAATTCAAGGATGGGTTTTTAAAATCGACTTTAATGTTTCTAAAACAACCCAATCAACTATTATTTGTAGCCCTCCTCTTTGCCTTTATTTTTTCTGTCAAACAATTCAAACCAAATTTCTTTGTACTTTCTTCTATAAATTTCAAATTCTTTACTGGTTATTGTGCTCTTTACCACCCACTTAGTTGTATTATACACTTCTTTTGATTCTCTCAATTAAATTTAACGGGTCTTTTAGTTTTTTGCAGATTTTAATTTTAATTTTTTTCAATACATATATGAAAGATCATCTCTCACAAAAAATTATAGCTCTGCCACACGAAATTAAATGAATGCAAAAATTTTGATACAAAGTGAAGACAAAACTTTTGGTAGGTAGAATAATACACACGCATGTAATCACGTACATAAACCATGATAATCATTTTGGGTTGGACCATTTTGGGGTACTATTAATCATGGCTTGGATTCTGAAGGATTTTTGGCTTTTCCATTTCCAACTTTGTTGAAAGCACTCAGAGTTTTTATTTTTTTATGATTTCCTCTCCAACCAAATTGGTTTCATAATGCTAGAATTCTAAGTCAAATGCAATAGTTGTCTAACATTAGGCATATTAAGCTGGAAAATATTCTTAAATTACACCGTCATCTTTCAAGATAAAACGTAAAACATGAATTCTCCAAAAAATATTATAATACCTTCGTACATTGCACCAATACCTTACAAGATAAAACGTCAAGCTCGAATTCTCTTATCTTATGGTAGACTTTCATGTCTCCTTATACTTAATCAAATTATTAAAAGAAAAGAATTTAGCACACTCTTGATGTAATTATCCGAATCTATAGAGAGAATCCCCTGTAATCAGGTATGGATGCCAATTGGACCATATTAGTTAATCTTTGGTTGTGATTGGGGGGCTATTTTGGTACCTAAAAATAGGAAAATTCATCATCTGTGACATATGTGTTGGACCTGCTAATTTCTCGCAGTTTAAAATAATGTAAATTTTAAAGGGGGAAGGGGTTAATTTCAATGTAGATATTCTCCAATTCCCTCCTCTTTTTTTTTTTATTCTTCCTCTTCCTCTCCCTTTGTTAATGTAATTTTTAAGAAACCAAATTTTTTAATCTGCAATCATTTGGGTCAACACAAGGGATTGTTTGGGTTAAAAATAAAATTGAATTAACTATTTTTTTGTATTGAACAGTTACATTGGCATTTACTTTCTTGATGAAAGGTTAAATTAATTTTGTCCCAGTTCATGCTTAACCAAAATTTTTTTAGAGCAAAAGTTGCGGTAGGAGAAGAACCGGAGAAGGAAGGAGAAGCACTTCTGCTTCTCCTCCTCTCCTATGCTCCGCTCTCTCTTCATTTTTCTACTCATTGTGGTCAATAATAGTTCCTTTGTGGTGGTTAAGTTTAAGTTTAAATTTGCTTATATTTGAGATCTCCATCACTTATTTTTGTTCTTTTTTTTTTTTTTTTCACTTCAATCCAAAATCCTCCTTTGTTGGTTTGGCAAGAGATGAGGCTGAAATTTTTGTGATGTGAGTTTTCTAAATTTTTGTGATGCCCTTTTGGGTTTGTGCCTTTTGTTCATATCTCATGATGGCATTTGTGGAGTTTATTCTGATGCAACTGGTAGCTTCGTTGGTGGTTTTGAGCACATAGTTCTATTGTAGTAGTCACTATTTGTTTCTTTTGCAGTTTCTCTTCAGAGTCCGTATTGCTTGTATGCAAATTAGTGCTCCCTTACTGGTTTTGTTTGCAATTTTGTGCACAGAGTCTCTCATGCTTCACACCCAAAGATCAGCTGATAAGGTGTTTGGCCAAGGTGGCCTTATTTTTTATTTGAGGATCCTTCAAATTTAATTAAAAAAACCTTATTTGAAGTTTGTACTTTTTCTTAAAATGCTAATACAATAACTGTCGTTTTGCTTAATTTAATTTTTCGTCTTTTGGAAAATTAAAAACTATATTCTTCAACGTGTTTTGAGATGGTCAATGATTGAATTAAATAGAGCAATTCAACGGTTAACCCGGATTTGGTCGGGTTCACATAAAGGGGCCAACTTCTCAGCCTGACTCAATTTCTTGGCCAACATCAACCCACCTTCCAAGAAATACAATGGAAGAAGCTCAAGCATTTCTTCTTGTTAAGTTATTCCCAGCCTGGAGGCGTTGAATTGAAACTTTTCCTACTATTTTCTAATTACTTCACACATTTGTCCACCAAAATTTGGTAACTTCCTCAGGAATTACTCACTCCTTTGTAATGGTAAAAAGGTACGGTCATCTGGTTGTTGTTCACTGTAGTTTTTGTTGCTTTGTACATGATTGTTTGGTCTAGTGACACTCAGTCTCTATTTTGCTAGCAAAAGGTTGAGTTTAATCTCATATACAACACAATATAGATGATGACATGCATGATTGTTTTTGGCCATAGCATCGTATTAGGTTTGTATAGACAGTAAACTAGCATTCTATTAGGTTTAATTGTCACTGTCATTAACAAATTCACATCGCTATCGCTTCTTGCCAAAAACTGTACACTGCCTATCTTTATGCTTCTCATTTGTTTTGTTTTGAGGAAAATATTGACATCGTAAACCTAATTAGTTGTAAAACCATGAGCTCAAAATGTTAAAAACGAGTTGGATTTGAGTCGATCAGTATTCCAAATCGACCAAAATGAACTTGGACATCGTTCCCAAACTAGGAGTCCCCAAGTTATTGTACTAGCACATTGAGTTGCATTTTTGATCCGTCAACATGTTAGGCATTGTTTGACTCACATTTTTCCCCGCATGCACAAAAGATGCCGAAGAATTGACAATTATCAATGAGCAAATCATAACCTTAGAAACATTTTCCATGAGCAATATAAAAGAAATACTAAACCCGCTTTAGATTTCGATCCGCCTAGGTACTATGCCTTATTAAGTTAAAAACAGTAACTCAATCATTTATAAGAATATTTGATATATCATCGTCATTATGTCTATTTTCTCCATGCATGTATCTTTCAATTTGGACGCCACATTCTCCATAACTGGATAGCATCCATTTATGCATGCGGCAAAACCACTTTTTGGACTTTGATCGCCCAAAATTTTCCAGTTAAGGTCAAGGAATCTCGTTGTCTGACCCGGCACCTGGCATCGCATGCAATAACTGGGCACCTTCCCCAAACAATTTAGGGCACAAAAAATGTGCATCACATGAGATTTTTGGCCTACCCTCACGGGCCAAGCAGATGCAGATATATTTTCCTGCTCATTTATGAATCTCCTACCAATCAATCGATGTACATTCTAGCGATTGTATGGGAACAATGATGCATCTAACTGTATGTATTTTTGGATACCATTTCGATTAATATTTGAACCGACATCTGAGAACGGCATATTTGTTTTGAAGTAGCCTTTGACACTGAAGCTAAGATTATATATAAAAGAGATAAACAATTTATATTACATATGGGAAGTGTTATTGGCACTCCAAAAATCTCATTCTACACTCCTCACAAGTGTATTTTTCTTTTCTAATGTAGAAA